TAATGAAAAAGAAGAAAAAAATATATGGCAATTATTAAGAATTGTGTTTGTCATAAAATTAAATGATTTGATTTTTAACTACAAACAGAACTTAGAATAATCTACAGTAATAATCTGTAGACAATGACTTTATTAATTAAAGAAGTAATTCAAATTAGTAAAGGAGCAAAATATAATTTTCTAGATTGTATTTAAAGAAATAGTTTTTCGACAACAAGTGAATTAATATATGAAAGTAATAACAATTTGTAAATATTTTGCATATATATAATAAAGACATACCATATTAACTGACTGTGGGTTAAAAAAAAAAAAAAAAAAACTAAAAATCAATATTTTTATAATTAAAAATTAATCTGACTTATGTTTCTATTTTATTTTTACCAATTATTTTAAAATTTTATTTTTTGAATTTTGAATTATCTTCTTTTTCTATTTATTTTTTTTATTTTTTCTTAATTTAACAATTTATAATTTTTGAATAATCTATAATGATAAACTGTTGATAATAAATTTAATAAATAAAAATTTATAATATTATTTTTTAGATCTAACTTAAAATATTTTAATATAACAATGAGTTAATCATTATATGAAAAATCTATAATATTATAAATAGTTATATAAATTTTTCAATAAAAATTAATAATGTAATTTGATTATCAAATTCGTACTATATTGTAAATAAAATAATAATTTTCGGTTTACACAAAAGATATTAGTAATAGTTTAATAGATAAAAAAATTTTTTTTTTTATATTTATTAAGTAGGGTCTTGTAAAAAAAAATACGGTTTATGCCGCAGAATTGACGTCATTAAATTGAACAAATAAATAAATACGTACGCACATATTTATTGTCGTCGTACATTACAATGTTACAAATGCTACCCCACGAGTTCAGTTCCTGGAAAAGTATTTTATGTAGATCATATTATCACGTTATAATTCCGCACGAGCCAAAGATGAATGATATATGTACTACACGGCAGAGGTTTAACCGGACGCATAGTAACCATTTATTTACATTAGGCTCAGCCGCAAAAAAAAAAAAAAAAAAAAAATATCTTTTTTTTCCCCAAGTTTGTCAGGAGAAATGGACATTTGGCCACCGAAAAATGGAGAATCAAGCACTACCCCTCAATCTGCTATTAATAGTAATCAAACTACTGGCGAAAAGCCTTCTAATAGAGTAATTATGTTACTTGGTCTTGACCCTAACACTACTTCGGGATTAATATCTGTAAGTTCTAGATCCTATTTGTTTCGTGAAACTTTCCGCAAATAATTAATTAACTTAAATTTCCTTGACTTGAAGAAAGCCTTTAATGAACATGGTCTACAGGTTGTAGTCGATTACCAACGAGATGACACTATTGGCTATGTTCAACTACACCTTGACATCGCCAAAGAAGTGGCCGAGCGAATTATGAGTAATGGTGGCCTAAGGATTGGCACTGATGTCGCGATATTACGTGCACTAGAGGGTAAGATAAAAAATAGTAAATTTTGGCTTCTTAAATTGCAATTGCGTAGCTAAATTACTTACTATTATTCAGGAATGGAAGATTTAATGTATTGGTCGGTATACGCTGGTGCTCGTATAGTTCCAGCAAGGTTGCTAGGAAATTGTAAAAATTCAGGAAAAGTTCGACATCAAAGGCGTAATAACCGGCAGAATCCTTATCATTCGCTTCAGATCATGGAGCTGGAAGATAGCCCAGATACATCGACAAAACTTTCACGACCAAATCATGTTAATCATATAAGTCATATCCGTTCTTCTTGTTCAGCAAAGTCACCGAAAGCCAAGAAGAAGAAACGAAAAGCTGAAAAAACGTTACAGAAAACAGCATGGAAAAGAGTAAAGGCCGCCAAGAGGCAATTAAGTTTTATAGATGCTGATGACCAAACAACCTCCGATGTCATTTTAAGAATCAATGAGACGAATGGATTCTTATCTTCGCCAGCTCGTGATCCGACTTTTACATCCATTGAAATTGCAGACACCGATTCACCTAATAGTTTTCACTGGACTGATTCCACGTACCCGAGCAAAATTAAATTTAATTCAAGTATATTATCCTCATCATCAGCTATTATTCCATTTGGTACCTATTCAGAGAACTTCCTGACAGAAAAATCAGGTATTGGCCTGAACAAAAAATGTTTTTTTCCCGAGTCTCCAATCAAAGAATCTCCGTTAATAGCTAGCATGTCGGAAGACTCACCTGACTCGGCAAAAAGTGAGACTTCACTCATTCCTTATAATATGCAAAAGACATCGACTTTTCCGAGATATATTGATCTGTTGAGTATTGATAAGAGTAAATTACTGGCAAGCTCTGGGTATACTGAAGAAACGAATTCTGGTAATGATGATACATCAAATTCCTTCCAGTACCTTCAATCTCCTTTATTTCAGGAAGTCGATCTTAAAAATAAAGACGATGCCGATGAGGTTGAAGAAAGACTGAAAAATCTGCGCCTAAATGTTATGCTAGAACAATGAATCAAGTAATAAATATTGAAAAAAAAAAGTTATATTTCTATCACCGTTATTAGAGGTAATAATGGTATCTTTTTAACTGTTACTATCAGAAAAGTATTTTCAATAAAAAAAAGCATATTTTTTTTATTTGCTAGAATTATATTTAGTGAGATCGCTCATATTGTCGATTCTTCTTCATTAAGAGTGGATTTTTTTTGTTTTCATAATTCTGGTTTCATTATTTATAAGTGTATGACTATATGCAACATCCTTCAACAACGAATGCGATGGGACTAAGATTGTAGCGAAGTAACATGTATAGTTGATCATTTGGAGTCTCAAGTTTTATGGATTAAACAAGCTAGTGCTGGCCCATCTCAATAATATAATTTGTAATGATTCATTATGGAGACATGACCACATTCTTACATTTTTAAAACCCCTACGTACAATACAAATTGATGTCTGCTCAATCAACAATTTAAGTTACAGTATCTTTTAGAATTGTGAACTGAATGGATTTTCCAAAGGTATCTACTGTATGTTAATTTGGATTCTATTAAGAATTGCGTTTTCCCAAACTTATTGATTTGTTTGCTTTAATAATTGATTTAGTACAGTGGCTTATTGTAAAACCTTCCCGACGAACATTTGTAAATTTATAAAACAAAAAAAAAAAAAATAGGCGCAATGTTCTCATACTAATCTTATTCCCCGTGGCTAATAATCATTTATTTAATTATTATTTTTCGTAATTGACACTATAATAAATGATATTACGATTATGATCATATAATTAAAACTGCAGAATTTAAATTATTATTTAAAAGTATGTAGTTTATTTATGAATAATAATTGAATCAATTAAATATTCATAAATCAAAATTGATTTACAGTAGTTTAATATATCGATATTATATAACTTATTTTATTTCTTATTTTTTAATCTACAACCATGTCATTTATTTTGTTTTTTTTTTTTGGAAATTGGCTCATCCTATGCCTTCTTTGGTGCTTATTAAAAAAAGATCATATTTAGGAACAATCAGAATTAATATTTTCCCATACTATCTAAGGATTTATATATCATTAGAGAGAAATAGAATAGAAAGCTAGCTATTTGTATAACTCAATCTATATCTAACCTAATCAGAATAAGAAAAATACATTATCATCTAGTATAAATACTTCTTTTTTAAAAACAAAGTTGAAAATAAGTCAGGTACATGTAGTTATACATTGCTGAACACATTCTCTTAATCAAGAGTTAATATTATCTAGAATACACTAATATATTTATTAATCAACTTGTTACCATTTACTAATAAGACCTAACATGTCAAGACTTATTTAAGATTTCTAGTACTATCTGATGCTGGGAATCTCTTATACTAATTAATAACTAGTCAGTATTGAAATAAAGAGGAAAAATAAAAGAAAAAATGTTAAAAATATTTATAAAAAAAAAAAATAGAAAGAGAAAATAAGATATCTAATAATAGCTCTTTTACTCAACTTTGTACTAGTCAAAATTATGTTATTTGATAGCTGAATTATTGCTGAATTTGATTAAATTTAATAATAAAAATATTGCTGAATTCTTTTCAATTGCTGCTACTTGATATATTACTATTTTAGCAATAAAGTAACAATCAAAAATTTAATAATCAAAAATTCAATAATCAAAATTTAACAATAAAAAAATTCTGCAATTAAAAATTATTAATTAAAAGTTTAACAATAAATTGTCAAAAAATTTATTAACAATTTGTCAAATAATTCATTAACTATTTAGTAAAAATTTATTAAAAGCTCATTACAAAATTATTTATTAATAATTCATCAAAAATTCATTAACTATTCATCAACTATTCATTAAAACTATTCATTAAAAATTTGTTAACTATTTGTTAAAAATTTAGCAACTATTTATTAAATTATT